TAAAAAAATTCTGTGCTTGACCATGAAATTTTATAAAATGTGTATATACCATACATTTCTATTATATAATTTACCATATTGTCTGAATCTAAAGTAATATATTTAAAAAAAACAATTGGGAAATATACCTATAGAAATGGTTGATAAATACAAATACCTAGGAACCTGGATTTCAGACAATAATGATCAACCAACAAAATAAGAATAAGAGCTAGGATAGAAATAGCAAGAAATGCGTTCGTAAAAATAAAAACAATTATCTGCAACAAAGATCTTAGATGAGAACTGAGAGTAAGAGCACTGATATACTACGTGTTTTCGATACTGCAATATGGACTTGAAAGCTGGACATTGAAGCAAGAACACATAAATAAGTTACAGTCCTTTGAAATGTGGTGTTACAGGAGAATTTTTAGAATAGCATGGACAAAGAAGAAAACTAACACGGAAGTATTGCGAGAAATGAGCAAAGAATGCGAAATAATAAACACAATAAAAATATGAAAGTTACAGTATCTGGGACACGTAATGAGGGGACAGCGATATGAACTGCTAAGGCTGATAATACAAGGAAAGATAAGAGGAGGAAGGAGTATAGGAAGAAGGAGAGTGTCATGGTTGAAAAATTTAAGGGACTGGTTTAATTGCAGTTCTATAAAACTCTTTAGAGCAGCAGTAGATAAAGTAAAGATAGTGATGATGATATCCAACCTCCGATTGGGAGACGGCACTTAAAGAAGAAGAAAGTGATATTAAAGGAAAAATACGATTATTCAAATTTCTGTTATACGAACATGTCCTTGTTCCATCTTCTTCTTGTAGTAGAAGAATGCCATGATGAGAACCAAATACAGATTGCCATGATGCTCGCCAACATCCGTTTCGGATGTTGGCGAGCATCATGGCAATCTGTATTTGGTTTAACTGCTACTCTGAAAAGATTTGTGGATGTTGTGTTGAATCACCTACGTAGATTTCTCAGCCAGGAAATCCTTCGCCTTCCTGGTCGTCGTTTGCCTTTCATACTTGTTCCACACTGTGCTGATAAATAATTGATCTGGTACCTTTTAAAATCCACTACCGCAAAATAATATTATATTATGGTCTTCTAGAGACTTGTGATACTCTAGGGACACTCTTCTAGAATGTTTAATTCTTCAGAGTACTCGGGTGGTTTTTCTTGATTAGTAGTATTTTTAACAAAAAGTTGCCGTGTACTACTCTCTGATCTAACCCAATATTTGGCTATATTAAAACTGTTTGTTATGTCGAAAATTTGTTTTGATAGTATCTCTACCTGTTTATCACCATTTGCGACTATGTTATTAAGTAGTCTTTCGTTCACTGTCTACCTTTTGTATTCTGCTTGGAGTACTTAACAAACAACTAACCAAGAAGCTAATACACTTAACAACATAAATAAAAACTAAAATAAAACAGGTATTACAAGAATTTGGCATACCATCGAAATTAATAAGACTAGTGCAAATGACAATGACAGAAACAGAAGCACATGTATGTATTCAAGGACAGATCACTGATGCGTTTATGACAACGCAAGGACTGAAACAAGGTGACGGACTGGCTCCAACACTTTTTAATCTTGCTCTTGAATATGTAATTAGACGGTTGACGGTGGGCAGAAATAACATACTTACAAACAAATCTACCCAATTAGTAGCATACGCAGATGACATAAACATAATGAGCAGAACAAAGACTGCAGCAGAAGAAACCTACGTTCAGTTGAAACAGAGTTCAGAAGTTGTAGGGCTAACAATAAATACAAATAAAACAAAACTACTCATACAAACCAGATCAAATAGACAGGCGCAACAACAACAATTTATAGATGATATAGAATACGTGAATAGATTCACGTATTTAGGAATGGATCTGGTCGAAAATAATGAAGAAGAACCGGAAATAAATAGAAGGCTTATGCTGGCAAACAAAGCCTATTTCGCGATGGGCCACATATTCAAATCGCGAGACGTACACCGGAAAACAAAACTCCGGGTATATAAAACAATAATCCGACCCATAGTAAGTTATGGGTGTGAAACATGGGTTATAACACAGAAATCTACCAATGCATTAGACGTGTTCGAAAGAAAAATATTGCGTAGAATACTGGGTCCAATAAAGGAAAATAACAACTGGCGAATTAGATATAATAACGAAATATACGAACAATACACTGAACCAACACTAGCACAATACACTAGACTGCAGAGATTACGATGGGCAGGGCATGTGGCCCGCATGCATGAGAACAGAATCCCCAGAAAATTACTAAACGCAAGAATGCAAGGAAAAAGACCTGTTGGAAGACCAAAAAAGAGATGGGAAGACGAGGTAGATGAGGATGCCAAAAATCTCCTAAAAACACGTTCATGGAAAAGAACAGCAGTAAATAGAGATGTTTGGAGAGGTCTAATGAAGGAGGCCAAGGCCCGGCTTGGGCTGTAGTGCCATTGGATGGATGGAAAATAAAACAGGAATTTATCACAGAGTGCCAAACATTGTCCAACAACTAACAGAATATCTAGAATAACTTTGTATCGAATGTAAGAATACAGTCACATAAATTTGCCAAATACTTACTCTAAAACTGACGGTATGAGGGATAAAAAGCAATAAAAGAATGATAGAAGATATCTTAAAACTACTGCAACAACAAACCAAACGAGATGAAATATGGTATGTAAAAATTAAGTCAAATGAAAATGAACAAATGTATGAATGAAAAATCGAAGAAATTAAAATCTTACAAGCAAAACATGATTATTTTTATATAATTATATTTCTTTTTTGTATATTTTTGTAAAAAGAAGTAAAAACAAACAAGCGGTATGTTTACAAGAAGATTTTCATTTGCACTCGTTGACAATAATGGCAAAACAATTTGGATGAAAAAGATATCGACGTACGAAGATACCTGTCCGCTTATTTAAAGACCTGGTTCAAATAAAGACAGGCTTGTTTCTCTTTTGACAGTTTTGTTTAACAGTTTCCCTTGGAAATCATCTGCAAGAAGTGTGAAATGTTAATGTAACGGAATGGACAGTAGGAGCCGACTTCATGCTGCTGGATTGTCTTCTCGAACTAAAGTAACTGGACCGCGCTGTTTTAATAATAATAATAATAATAATAATCGAATTTTGCACGAGAACACTTGGCTTTAATAATACAGGAATGGACTCATGTATTGTTTTCCGATGAATCGAGATTCTGTTTTACATGCTCAGACAAACGTGTAAGAGTGTGGTGACGTTTAGGCGGGAGATATGCTCAAGCATGTGTTTCCGTTTGATGAGCGATTTCCATTTGATGATGAGTCAGTTAGGGCCCTAATTTACTGCCCTAAACTTCTCGAATAGTTACTGAGTATCTTGAAGAGGTTCAAACCAAACGATTTGTTTGGCCTGCTCGCAGTCGAGATATCAATTCCATAGAACCATAGAATCCATAGAAACTATAGAAAAGACGTGAATTGAGCCATCTGCTGGTCCCGAGAAATTCAAGAGAGCTTCGCGACATATTGGTGCAGGAATGTAACAATCTTTCCCAGAAGGTGATCCAAAATCTAATACTAAGCATGTCTCGTCGTTTGTAAGATGTTGTTACTGCCTAAGTAGGGAATACTCGCTACTGAAGTTCTTAAAATGTCTTTTGTTACAACAAAAAGTACATCAAATTAATATTTAGTATATCAAAGAAACATTGTTCATTTTTATTCACATTACGGGATGACAATTTTATACTCGCCAGTGTATATTTACTCCATTGGTCAATTTTATTTTCTAATTTTATAATAAATTTTCCTTAAGCAATTCTGTTTGATAATCGTGATAATGATGGTGGAGACAATTTTGGCCTAGAGCTGAAGTGGAATAATGTTCACAGACTCTGTGTTTGATCGGTTTGGCTTAAGTAAGATCTGGACAGTCTACACGAGAAATTCTATAAACTTCCTATTGTTCATTTTGGATTTGGGATGTTCTTTTTTTGACGAAACGGACAATAGTTAAAAGTTTTGATGGGAGGTAAATATGATCTTTATTGCCTTTGAGAATTTTACCTTTGAGTATAAGGAATAAAAGCTTTCGTGTGATAAGTGTTTGATTCTTTGGAATGAGATTGAACAGAAGATAGTACTGATCTGAAAATTAAGAATATTAATGACTGAATTAATTTGTAAAGCTAAGTGACGGGAATTGAGATGCATGTATCGGTTTGTATGGGTGGGTTTTTGGTAAAAAGAGTAATGGAAATCTTAGGATTGATTTTTCTTCATGAATACGTCGAGGAACAGTAGAGATTAATCAGTTTCCATCTCTATCGTAAACTGGGCACTGTAATGTATATTATTTAAAAGTATATATTAAAGCATCCTGGCCGTGGAGTCAAATGACGAATATTATATCTTCAACATATCGTTGCCATCATGTGGGTTTGAACACTGATAAGGATAGTGCTTTTGTCTGTCAAGTCTTCTATAAAGATATTGGCAATTACTGATGAATGAATTATTGGGGCACTATTGACTTGTCTGTAGAACTGATTTTGTAAAATAAAGTAAATGGCAAATATACAATTTTTATTGAGAGAAAAATGGTCTTGCTGGATATTGTATGCATATTGCAGAATATTTAGGACTTTGTCAATAGAAATGTTTGCAACAAGTTAAATGCTAAGAAGTTATAAGTGAGATGCGATATTCGTTTTAGTAGTTCGATAAAGTTAAAAGAATTTTTGGCAAAGGATGAAGCATTTTCCAAGCCATGCATGGCCAAGTATTTTGCCAATAGTTTATGGATTTTAAGTAGGTCATGTATTCAAGGTATTCTAGAAGACTTTTCAAGAATACACATATTTTAAAATATACTTAATTTAGTATTTATTTGGGGTTTATCCAGATTCTAGAAAGTGTCGCTAGAAAATGGTCAGTAGGTTTATAGAATAAATACCGCCATTATCTCCCCCTGTATACAAACCTGGTTCTGTTGGCGTCCATTTGACTCGGAAAGCGTCTGTAGGCGCGCTTTGGTACGGCGCCAGACAAACAATAACAGTCGCTGATACACTGTACACACCGCCCAGTCTCTTGTGCAGCGCCGTCGTTGTGCCTGAGACGCCAAAGCTGGCGTCCCGTCCAAGGGTCTCGGCGTTGCGTGTAGCGCCACTTGCAGGGTGGTGTGGAGATCCGGTATGTCGCCATCGAAACTCAACTTGAGGAATTGTCTGTAAATATTATCAACGATCGTGAATAATCATTTTTAGTAGGGGAGCCCAAGCGGGGATTTCGGGATTTACTAAAGCGCGGCAGATTATTATACAGAGAGAATCCTTGTACCCAGTTAAGTACATCCACCAAATATGAACCCCATATATATGGCCGCCCGTCAAGGATAAAGGATCAGATTAGTAAAAAAAAATTGATCATCTGAAATTCTCGAGCGCGTCAGATTAAGGTAGGGTGAGTTAGTTACATGCTAAAGAGTGTATATTCCACTAATCTGACAATTTGAGAGTGACGCAAAGAAGGGGGAGGGCGACAAAGTTGTAAAAAAAAAACGTCATCTCGACATTCTCGAGCGTGGCTAAATTTTTTTTATTTTGAAGGGAATAATTGAAGAATTACAAAAAATATATAATCTGACGATTTCCACAAGCCGAAGTAATAAAAATTCATCGATAAAGTTTAATACGTGCAGCTACGTGATGCCTATATTCCCCTCTCCGCGTTTCTATTCCTCTCTCACTCTTTCTCTATCTCTCATACCGTCCCCACTCTGGTTTCTGTTGCCATGACGCCATGACAGCTGATCACACAAACGCGTTTGTGGCATGATATTGTTTACAACGTATTTCCAACGTTTTTGCTCATTTTGTGATTTTAACATAAGTAAGGTGAATTTAAGTTTATAAATATTTACTATGAGTGATAATAATATAAAGTGTGTATTTTGTGGTGAAGCTACTTTGCAAAAAACAATTAAATTTACATTAGACACATTACAAAAATGTATAAATATTTTAGAATATCGTCGAAGCAAACCGGTTTTCAGAAAATCCCGAACAAGATACGATAATCTTGAACTTTCGAAAGAATCTTCATTACATTAAGTCTATCACGCACAGTGCTACAAAATTTACTGCAATAAAAATACCACCAGACTTTCAGTATTTACAACAGCAACAACAGCAAAGTGTAGTGGAATATGATAATGCATCAGAAGTTCAGAGGAATAGCTCAGAATCACATGCTCCTGTTTCTGGAGAGTGCTCCAAGTCACATGTTTATGTTCCTGGAGAGTGTTCTGAGTCACAAGTTCCTGTTTCTGGAGAGTGCTCCAAATCATATGCTACTGTTGATTCCACATCTACTGAGGCTGTTGGTACATCAACAGATGAGTGAGTTTTAGTATGACTTTATGTAGTAAATATTAAAAAAAAAAGTTATTGAATTTTTTTTTAGTTAAATTTATAGACCAAAAAAATCATTATTAAAAAAAAAGGATCAAAGGAGTATAATCTGCAGGATTCTTTAAACGTCATACAGTCTTTTACTTGCCACTTGTATGGGCTAAAAAAGTTAGACGATGTCAATCAAGCCAGGATTGTCATCTTCAATAAGACGTACAAGGTAAAGGACACATCACAACCCTTCTCCTTGAATATCCGGAATTACGATGCGTGCAACTTGCCACCCTGTCAATCGGAGTTACTCCAACAAGTGTTACGCACAAGATTCATTGCATGTATGTGGAGTAATGCCCATAATGCAAAAATTATTGATCTTTTACCAACGGACTATGGATGGAAAATAGTCGACGGAAAGTTCGAAATGATCTGGTTTGCAGGTGATCAATTGCCGAAAGCGTATGAAGATGTAGTCATAACACCTGATACTCTTGAGGATACTCCAGAATTAGGTATATTTTTCCCCAATAATTATACAGGTTATTCATAAAAAAAATATTTGTAATGATTTCTTGTTACAGATACGCAATCTGAGGATGAAATCGAGCCAGAAGAAGAAGATGATTCTACCGATGAAGATGAAAATTAAAAAAAATACTCAAAAAAATTTCATTGTTTATAATTATTTTCTTGTAAATACAAGTATTGTACTTAAAAAAAACATACGATTTTTTATTTGCATGCTATTTCCTGAGCTTTTCAATTAATTAAGTTCAATAATCTAAAAAAATTAAAAAAAAAACTTTAAATTATCAGATTAGGCGAACCCCCCCAGATAATCGTCAGATTATGAGACAGCAACATCTAGGGCTTATAGATGAACCATATATATCTTAATCTGACGCGCTTGAGTATTTCAAAATGGCGAATTTTTTTTGCACATTCTAATAACGGCCGCGAGTTCGCGTCACGTCCAAATCGTCAGATTATTATATAAGAGCTTTTTATCAGGTTCACTTAACATCCCCTCAGAAAATCTGACGCGCTCGATTAAATTTTTTTTTTTTTTATTTTCAACCCTTACGTACGACCACCCCCATCATGGAAACAATCAGATTAACATACATACATTCTTAAAAATACGTAGGACATGGATGATATCAATATCTGACGCGCTCGAGTATGTCCATGCAACAGTTTTTTTTTACATTTTTGAAAATCTATAGCGGCTGCCCCCACCGATGAAAAGGTATATATTATATAAGATTTTTTTCTTTTTATCATCTAAGCTTCGCAATCCAATAGGTCTCTATGACGCTCGAGTAAATCCCGATTTAGCATCGTGGGCTCCCCTACTATTTATAATAATTAGTTTGTGAAAGTATACGAGGTTCAATTATTAAAATTTTTTTGTTCGTTAAAAAAATATTTATTTCCTTGGATAAAATATGACTCTCAAATCGACAGTGTAATAATTATTTTACGATTTTTACATCAAATTTAAAACACATTGTAGTGCCTAAACTTTTATCTTCATTTCGTTGTTGGCAGTAGTGAATCTTTATATGGTTCATCAACTGTAAGCATGACTTCGATAATGGCAAACATGACGTGATATAGAGATTTCAATTGCTCAGTTTAAATGGAAAGAACATTAAATGAATCTCAATATATACTTAAATCAGATGGCAGATGTATTGCAATTCAACTATTTAACATACACGTTGGAAAAATCTTTAAAAATAGCTATAAAGCAAAACTAAAAACACTAAACTCAACGGCACATTATCATTCAATCTTCGCTTATCCACTGCTGGACATAGATCTCCCTCATAATTTTCCATATCTATTTCTATCTTGTGCCTCTTGCATCCAATTCCTATGACAACGTTTTTAGTTCGTCAGTTCAACGTATTGGTGGACGACCTCTGCTTCGATAGGCATCATCTCTTGGTCTCCATTCCAGTATCCGCTTTGTCCATCTATTATCTGTCATTCGAGGCACGTGACCTGCCCAGTTCCATTTCAGTGTTGCTACTCTCTCTACTGCATCAGCCACTCCTGTTCTTTGTCGTAGCTGGCGATTTGGGATCTTGTCTCGTAGTGAAACGCCCAACATAGCACGTTCCATCCCCTTTGACACACATGGATCTTTTAAACTGTTCTCCTTGCCATGGTCAACGTTTCCGCACCGTAAGTCAACACTGGCAAAACATACTGATTAAAGGTTTTTCTTTTAAAAAATATTGGTAAATCACACGATTTGAAAATATGGTTCAGGTTGCCGAAGGCTGCCCAAGTCAGTCTTATACGACGGAGAAGCTCAACGGTTTGGTTATCTTTTCCTATGCGGATCTCATGACCTAGGTATTTATAGGCCATTACCTGGTCTATATGCTATACCAGATGCCAGAGGACGCCCCGTTTGTACCTGACTGCCAGAACTCCACTTTCCATTCTCCTTCAACAGAGACACACCACACTAGTTTTGAGTCTGAACCTGACATACTTTTTTCCGAGGTGGAATTCGCTTTAAAAAGACTTAAGTTAAACAAAGCAGCAGGATATGATCTCATTACTGCAGACGTCTTGAAGCATCTTCTGGAATGTGGAGTGAAAATATTACATCGATTGTGCAATGAAATATGGCACACAGGCGTCTGGCCTGAGGATTGGAGAAAGACCATAATCATACCTCTTCATAAGAAAGGTTCAACAAATAATTGTAACAACTACAGGCTATTAGCTCTAATATCACACGCCAGTAAGGTGATCCTCGACATACTGCAACGGCGTCTAGAAAACTTCATAAGTTGGCAAATAGCACCTGAGCAGGCTGGATTTGTAAAGGGCAGAGGTACTAGAGAACAAATCCCTAATTTATGAAACATCATAGAAAAAGCCAGAGAATACCAGATCCCGATATTTATATGTTTCGTCGATTATACAAAGGCCTTTGATATAGTTAGATGGGACAAACTATGGAACATATTGACGACAATGGGTGTACCTAAACACTTGACTCACCTTATTAGCAAACTGTATCAAGATAACCTGGCATATATTCGAATGGACGGATATCTGTCTGACAAATGCACTTTGGAGAAGGGAGTACGCCAAGGATGCGTTTTATCTCCCTTATTATTTAACATTTATTCGGAGTTCATAATGCGCAGAGTTTTGGATGGTTGGGAGGGAGGAGTAAACCTAGGTGGTGTTAAGATATCTAACTTGCGTTTCGCAGACGACACTACACTTCTAGCCTCTACTGCAGAAGAAATTACTAGATTATTAAAAAAACTCGAGGTAGAAAGTGCTAAATTTGGACTCATGGTTAACTACAACAAAACCAAAATCATGGTTATTGATCGCCAACAACAGTTTCCTGAAACCCAAACTATTGCGGGATGCGAGGTAGTCTCATCTATGATATATATTGGAGCTCTAGTTAACAACACAGGCAGTTGTGAATCCGAAATTAGAAGACGCTTTCAACTAGCAAGAGCAGCAATGAGTGAACTAAACGGGTCTGGCGTGATCGTCACATTACTATGACAAACAAAAAGAGACTCGTTTCAACTCTGGTCTTTTCCATATTTTACTATGCATGCGAGACATGGACAGTCAAAGAATCAGATCGACGACGTATAGACGCCTTTGAAATGTGGACATGGAGACGCCTGCTTCGAATTCCATGGACGGCTCGCCGTACAAATATCTCGGTTCTGGATGAAATTAAACCGGATCAACGTCTCTCCAGTACCGTTTACTCTAGAATTTTAAAGTTCTTTGGCCATATCCATCGAAGTGATCACAAA